TATATCGTGGGACTACCAAGTAAGCAATGCTATCGTTAGGAAACGAGTACTAGGTAAGAATGGCAGATCAATAGATGAAGTGGTGAAACTTCATCAGTTGAGGTGGTTGGAACATGTGTTACGAATGCCTAACCACCAACTGCCTTGACGAGCTATGTTTTGTGGTGTAGGAGTAGGTTGGAAGAAAGCTAGGGGCGGCCAAACCAAAACATGGCAGAAATCCATGAAGTCACTGACATGTGGACTGAGTCATGTTGGTAGATGTAGGCTACCTGGTTGGGGTCCGCGAGACGACAGTCACCAAGACCTTGAACGACATGGCTGAAAATCGTTTGCAATGGCGCAAGTGCATCCATTCGTTGAGCTCCCTCAAATCCTAATCTTCTGGATTCGTCGGCACATCTACCTTTGTCTTTCTAACCTTATCTCACTGAATTATACTTCTTGAATAATATCTTCAAACCTTATTCTTCTTCATTACCATTAATACCTCTACTATCTTTATCACTATGGTATTTGATTTGATATTTGCGTCTCTGTGCTAATGTGGTATGACAACATGAACTTATGTACTTACGCACGAAGTTCTACGTTGCAACTGACTGACTGACTCACAGTCAACCTCAACTAGACCCACTACATTTGGAGATGGCGACTGCGCTAAAGGAAAATGTGTTCCAGAAGTGCAAATAAACAACAAGTTCAGTAAAACAACCACTGGTTATTATATAAATTTACCCTGTATTGTCTAGGGCAATTTTACATTGGTTTTCAGGAGAACCATAGAGACTGGACACGTTTTACCATTACTACATGAACAGTTCGGCTCAATCCTGTGGTGCAACCACACAGGTACCTGATACCCTGGTGGACTATTCACACCATTTCATATACACACAATGGTATATATATTTCCGATCAATGATCGCGTCAATCAACATGCACCGCATGAACAGGCCATTTAGACCCATCCCGCTTACATGACTGTGAAACTCATTGTTATTAGCAATGGTGATATGTAATACAGCACCCCGATAACAATGGCCCTCGGAAATGTCGCAAAACAACCACCTATATCAATGAAATCGGTCACCCTTCTAACCAGTTTTGTATATGGACTGTTAACAATGCTTACCAAAGCAAAGCCAAGCCATCCACAATATACACAGCGAACCTCTAGTCTCATAGGAGACCTTCAGCTCTATATAGCAATATAGCATATGGTGTACACATATATGGCGCAGGATAGTAGAAGAGGCAGCCCAGCTTAATGCAAATAGGCCCAAACACTTCTATTACCCTTTGTCTCATGTCGGGCAATGATTTTTTCGCGTTTCCGAAATTTTCATTTTTCGACCATATGAGACATGAGTTAGGAGTAGTATCCCTTATAATAAAGAATGTTCCTAGTTAACCGATTGTGTTTTCTTTGTAAAACTGAAGTCATCACAGATGGTTTATAAGTTAAAATACTACTAAAACCGCTTATACTAAAAGCAGCCATAGAGAAAACATTTTACACTGCTAAACTGGTTATAATTGAAAAGACTGAGCCTATGATACCACAGAGACCTAAAAGTTGCTCGAATGATTACATCGCAACCCATTGCATTTATCAATTTACATGTTTGTGTGGACACACATACGTAAGGAGGAGTAATCGGACTTTGTAATCAAGGCTTATGGAACATGTTCCTAAGTGGCTTCAAAATCAGTTAACTTCAGATGAGCCGATAAACGTGGGAAACAGAAAACTATGTTCATCGATCGCAAAACACATAATTGAGATAGGGCATAAGATTGACATCAAGGCAGCCTTCAGAACATGGTATAGACATGTTGAAGGACGAATTTTGTGGTTTATGGAAGCCTTGGCCGTTCGTAAATTAAAACCCCCCTTATGTGTACAGAAACAATTTGTTACAACCTTGAGTTTACCCTAGTAATCTGTAAGCCTAGAGTAATGTGACAACTTCCTACCCTTTCTTATCCTTTCTATATTACGTTAATTTTCTCTCTCCTTTATTTACAATTATCACCTTATGTCTGTTAGAACTTTTTATTTAATTGACCTTTTACTTAATCTTCATATAAAATGCCTTGAGAAGTGTGTATGTGTGTGACCAGATTGTTCGAAATGTGTATAGCGCGCAAATACATCACATTTTTCAGATCAATTACCTCTTTTCATTGTTCTATCAACATGTATAATAAAAGGGGACTGACTAATTGTTTTAAAATTGTTTCTATTGTGATGACTCAATATAAATGATCTGTTAACTTGCATAAGTCAACTAAAATTATGAGATTAATGGGTTGTGAAAGATAATATTGTAATTACATCTCCAGAGTCATCATGTAGTATGAGATGTATTCATTTGAATACGATTAAAGTTTTTTGTAGTGTAGGAATAGGTTGGAAGAAAGTTAGGTGCGGCCAAATCAAAACATGGCAGAAATCCATAAAGTCATTGACGAGTGGACTTAGCCATGTCGGTAATTGTCGACTACCTGGTTGGGGTCCGCGAGATGATAATAATCGATGGTTAGAGACCTTGAATGACATGGCTCAAAATCGTTCGCAATGGCGCCGGTTCATTTATTCTTTGTGTTCTCTCTAATCCTAATCTTCTGGATTCTTCAACCCCTCTAGTTTTGACTTTCTAAACTTATCTCATTAAATCATACTTCGTGAATAATATTTGTCTAATTCTAACGTCTACGATTACTTCCAATACCTTTACTACCTCTTCTACTATTGGATTTGAATTGACAATTACATCTCTGTGCTGATGTGGTATGGCAACATGAACTGATGTACTTACGTACGAAGTTCTACGTTGCAACTGACTGATTAAAGTTTTTCTTTGATAATTTGTATGTATACATTTTATGGTGAAAGTATGTTTATTTTTGTAGTGAACATTTGAAATTGTCACTTGTACTCTGTGATCTTAAGTCGAATGTTATTGATCTGATCTATCCAGAGACTAACACATAGTAATAACATTGAAATACAGACAACGCACACGTAATTATGGAATGAAGGTGATGACGACGACGTTAATTATTTTATTTGCATCGCTTGATTAAAGTGTTCAACATTGTACAAAATAACAAATAACGTGGATCGAAATTATCTGGCTAAAAGTCAATATTAACGTTGCCTTAAAATTTAAAAATAATCACATGCGTGACGATCAATAATGCAAAAATTTATCTGCAGAATAATGATAATAATGATAAATAGGCAAGCTGATGTCGATCGACCAAAACACAACCAGATACATTTTGTGTTTTGGTTACTTTGTTCTTTAAGTCAGTGACCGACTGTTAACGCCATCTTGTCCCCGAATTGTAGCTGTGAAAGTCTATGGCTTTCTACATTTTTAAAAATTGATAATAAGGAGCTTGCGTTGTATTTTCTTCTTAGTTAGTTCACTACCTGTCATTTTTAACTTTGATTAATTATCACTACTGAGAAATAACATGTGCTTAGTTAACTGAATGTTCTTATTTATAAAATTAGAATTTGAGAGAATACAAAGAGTGAATGCACCTGAGTCATTGCAAACGATTTTGTGCCATGTGGTTCAGTGTCTCTATTCACAGAAAGTGTGATTCAATTAACATTCATTAGAAAACGGAGTACTTAAGAAAACTTTCGATCTGTTCTGGAATGCGTAATCAGTTGAAAGTCATTATCATCACCACAAGGTCAAACTATGATCACCCACTTGCAGTCTAACGTACATGAATCTGTGGATGGGTATCTGATTAGGGTCATAGAACCCACCTTGTTATTATTTTACGTTACGATTAAACTTTCTTTCTTGACAACTCTCGTGTATTTATGTTTCTGGATAATTTTGAAATACTATTCGTCTATAAATGAAACTCCATAAGCAAGTACAGGCACAATGCTTTAATCCAAGGCTTATTCTAACTTCAGTATCAGTTTTCCGTCTGGACTTTGTTTTATCAATGGTTTACTGTCTCAAATATCAAGGAATGAAGTTCATCTATGAGTTAGTGGGAGGTAGTTACCCACGGAAAAACAATGAATGAAGTCGCTCAATATCGCGAATTGATTGAAATTAGACATTAACACCGTTGCATGTCGACTCAGTAGTTAAGAGCTTAAGAGTTCACGCTCATGACCAAAGATCTTGGATTCGATTCCCGCTTGTGGGGGTTGTGGATAAGTTCTATACTAGGACGAAACGACCATCCAATGCTTCTAGATTTTCAATGGTGGTGTAATATTGATCGTTTCATGATTTTAATCAAATACAGGCGAATTTTTTCATATCAAAAGATAAATTGATCAAACAGAAAGCTGCTCTACACACATTTAAATAATCGACAGAATTATTTGAAATACACTGTGTTGTATTTCGATAGGGTGATAACTTAGTGATAGCATGGGGCTACATGATAACTTCTTTCAATCAATATTTTGATAGCTAGGCCGTACAATACAGTCACATGGTAGCAGGTAACCAATAATAGTTTCATACGCCATAGGTTCCATCAGGATCTTGGGGGCCATATGCACTATTGGTTTGGAATCACTTTTCCAACTCCTTTAGTTCAATCTTTGATATTAACCAACCTGGTTAAGGGACCGGGTACTCACATTTCCTACTCTCAATTTCATAAACAACACTCCTGTCACGAGAAGGCAGTGAGTAGGATTTTCCTGTTACTGACTTAGCGAAGAAGGGTGAAAGGCACTGTCGGATTCGAACTCTAATCCGCTTATTTTGGTTTGAGCAAGGTGATAGTATCTCCAGCCTTCCTACTTAGAGTGTGATTGATACTCAAGCGGTCGGTAAATGAATTAACTATTATCATTATCAATCTATGATGTTACTGATATTCTTGTTCAAGAATTTGCACACATCAATTGTTTCTTGACTGAATATACATTATTCTCTGACAATCTTCATTCCTATTTCTTTCTTTCCATTACAGATTATCCTATTTCTTCTTTAATTATGCCAAGATTTAAAGCAACACCTCAACAATTTCATTTGAACAGAGAACAAGACGATTCAAACGATGAAGATAACATTGATGATGATGTTGTCAATGATTTAAAAAATTCCAATGATGTTGACAATCAAAGTAGTCATAACAATGACAACAACAACAACAACACTGATGATCCGGATGAGAATAGTTCACAAGAAAATAATAATAATAATAATAATGAACTATTTGATGATGATAACAACACCAATTCAACTATTTTAAAAAGATCATCAGATACTACTACTGATAATAATAATAGTCCAAAATGTAAACAAAGAAAAACTTGTCAAACTGCTGCAACTGATACTACTACTACTACTGCTGCTCCAGTCACCAGTGAATGTATGAATAATTTACAAACAGCTGCGTCGTTTTTTGCACAAGCAGCTGCTGTAGCTACTGTGGCTGCATTGTCCACTGGACAATTGATACCAATTTTTCCATCGGATAAACCACCGATAGCACCGCTTGGTTTATCTTTACCAACAACAACAACAACAGTCACTACTACTAAAATAACAGAATCATTAAATCAGAATAAAACTGATTTGCCGTCATCTACTATGAGTAAAGAACAAATTTCTAATTTATCTATGTCTGTTTTATCTTCAAATCCTAGTGAAATTGATCATGATGAAGGTGATGAAGGCGATGATAACGATGATGATGCTGATGCTGCTGATGATGATGATGTGGATGACGATGATGATGCAGAAGAAGAAGACAATGTTCATGATAAATCTTTTCAACAATATAAATCACGTGAACGTGAAAAACAATTTATTAATTGTCCTGTATGTTGTAAAACAATGCGTCGTGGTTCATTACGTGAACATATGGATCGTCATGCTAATAGTGGTAAATTTAAATGTACCACATGTGATAAAACATTTAGTCGAGCTAGTGCACGTGAAAAACATATACGTACACATACTGGTGAACGTCCATATAAATGTGAATTATGCTCAAAAGCTTATCGACAAAAAGTACATTTAAATGAACATTTACGTTCACATACTGGTATACGACCATATTTATGTAAATTATGTGGTTTTTGTTTAGCTTCAAAATCATTATTAAATCGACATTTACGTACACATGGTATTAAAAAAATTCTTGATAATGATACAGATATTTGGATGAAAATTAATGCACCAAAAGAAGAAGTGTTAAATATTGCTGCTGAAGTTGGTCGTGTATTAGCACAAAGACAAAATGAAAATTTAAATAATCATAATCATACTACTACTAGCGATGATAATAGTAGTAATGTGCAATCATCTAAAAATGAACAAACTTTAAATAATAAATCATTTAATACTGATAGTATTTTACAATTAACATCGAAAGGTTCAGTAACATTGGGTCGTAAATATTTATGTAATTTATGTCCAGCTGGTTTTCCAACAGTACAAGCTTTAAGAAGTCATCGTATGACTACACATAATGTTGTTACACCACATAAATGTCCACAATGTAATGAATCATTTAGTTCATTGAAATTAATGGAAGGACATTTGAGAAAATTTCATCCACAGGTACTAGATATAATAGTTTAAATTTTATACTTATATGAATTGTAGATCATTGTTTCTTGTTGAGTAGAACCAGGATATATATATATAAATCACTGGAAAGCCGTTTCGTCTCAGTACGGGAATCACCAGCAGTCCTAATCCTTGACCACACATGCGGTAATCTAAGCCAGAACCTTCAGTCCTGCGCGCAAACGACCAATCATGTTAGTGAAACCCGACAATCTCCACAACCTTATACTGATAGTCATCATGTGCTCATTAGTGATTAGTTTCAGGAAGGAAGTTTTGGGGTTAAAGTGATAAGCCGTGACCGGTGGAGTTTAACCATGTTGGGTGTGAGATTGACGACAATAGATGATGGGCAGAAAATATCGTGGACTTATTGAACCCAATTAAATGCTGATTCAGTGATCAAGCGTTTGAGCGTTTGCGCTTGAGATTTAAGGTCCTAGGTTCGATTCCCTAATGCAGAGATCGTATGTGCACACTACTGATGAGTCCTATACTTGTACGAAACGGTTGTCTAATGCTTTCAGGACCTCGATCATGGTCTGACACTGGTTGGTTCATGATTTCAACGAAATGTTATGTTTAGTTTTTCATTGCTTACTCATTCAATTAAAGTATCGAAGTAACTTTCCTACAATATAGTTTCTACCTTACATCAATTATGAATTTCACTAAAATTTCACAGAATTCTTCTTTCAAAACTTTCAAAGTTTGCATACATTAGACGGTGACTATTCATCTTATCATTGCTTAGTCATATTACACATATTTGAGAGGTTTTGGGCATAAATGAAATACTTTTTATCATATTCATAGCAGTTTATTTGACGGACATTAGAAATTTTTATGTTTAATTGTGTGTGTGATATATATTTGACATATCATTAGCGTAGAGTACAAGATGAAAAAACAAATCAGATTGTTCAATTTTATCGACCGAAATGCTTGTGATTTATGTTACTCATTTAGTGTTGTCATAACTGAATTTAATTCGTTATTGGTGGCTTCCACAGAAAGTTGTTTAAGCAGGACTAAATGTACTCAAATCACTTATGTTTTCTCTGTGATTGGCTTCCTTAAAACCAGTTTGATTATCAGTTCTAAACGTTAAGTAATGTGGTTTAGAAGTGACCACATTGTAATAATTCTTCATATTCTTTGAAATTTTAAATGTGGCATTGTTCTACATTGTATTGCTTCCTGATTCTGTACGTCCATGTCGGTAATTGTCGACTACCTGGTTGGGGTCCGCGAGATGATAATAATCGATGGTTAGAGACCTTGAATGACATGGCTCGAAATCGTTCGCAATGGCGCCGGTGCATTTATTCTTTGTGTTCTCTCAAATCCTGATCTTCTGAATGCTTCAACAACTCTAGTTTTGACTTTCTAAACTTTTCTCATTTAATCATACTTCTTGAATAATATCTTCTCATCCTAACCTCTCCGATTACTTCTAATACCTTTACTACCTCTACTACTACTGGATTTGAATTGACGATTACATCTCTGTTTTGATGTGGTATGGCAACATGAACTGATGTATTTATGTGCAAAGTTCTACGTTGCATCTGACTGACTGATTCTGTACGTTACTTTCTTACTTACTTTCTGCCACATTAGTGTTTAAGTACTACTGGTATACATATTTCTTATTGCCATACAACAGTACTGTATTAACTCTCACGTTTTTTCTATCTATTTATTTGTGTCTGATTTGTCAGTGCGTGTCAAATGAGTCTAGATATGAGATGGTGGAGAAAATTCGTAGCTCAGGTGGATGATTGTGGTAGTGAAGCTTTCATCATTGTTCTTCTGAATAACAACATGCTGATGATAATGTTCAGAAGAACGATGAATGCTCCACACCGACAGACAGACAGATACAACGCTGAACTTCGTACATAAGTACATCAGTTCAGGTTGCTATACCACATCAGCACAGAGATGCAACTGTCAGTTCAAATCCAAGAGTGAGAGTGATAGCAGAAGTTTTAGCAGTAATGGAGAAGATTAGGGAGCAAAGATATGATTCGAGAAGTATGATTCAGTAAGATAAATTTAGAAGGAGAAAGGTAGAGATTATGAGGAATTCAGAAGGTTAGAATTAGAGAGAACGCAAACAGTGAATGCACCTGCGCCATTGCAAACGATTCTGAGCCATGTCGTTCAAGGTCTCTAACCATCGGTGACTTTCGTCTCGCGGACCACAACCAGGTAGCCGACATCTACCAACATGACTCAGTCCACTAGTCAGTGACTTCATGGATTTGTGCCATGTTTTGGTTTGGCTGCCCCTAACTTTCTTCCAATCTACTCCTACATCACAAAACATAGCTCGTCGAGGCAGTCGGTGGTTAGGCATACGTAACACATGTCCCAACCACCTCACCTGATGAAGTTTCACTACTTCATCTACTAATTCGCCATCTCTACCTAGAAATTCGTTTCCTAACGACAGCATTGCTTATACGGTTGTCCCAGGATACACAACCGAACCATCATCCATCTCAGAGAAGGAAATTCCACCACGAATCTGAATATATATGTATATATGTAAGGAACGAAATTGAACGATTCACTATAAACTATCAAGCTTTTAGAATTTTCTGAACACTACTTATTTCTTATGCAATTCACGGCCTTTTTGAAAAAGCACATTTTACTAATTCAATAGAATGTTGTTTAGCATCAGCATATGGGGGAGAACTTGGTTTAGTTCAATGCATTTTAGTTTTTATGAAGAAATATGTTAATCATGTATAAAAAACAGTCTCAATGACATGAATGAATGCTTATCGATTTAGCTTAAAAAACTTTGTCAATTCTAAACAGAAATTAATTCATTTTCATATGAATTAATACTTACCTTTAGCTAAAATGTTTTTTTTATATTTTTATTATAACTGTTTAATCAAATTAAGCAGGAGAGCTGGAATAAATTTCATTTGCTCCAATGATCGTTAATAATTTGTAGTATGCAAAATGCAGAGTCTTCTGACTACCCTAAGCAACAATGCAAGCATGTTCGGGATGCGGTTTTCCCGCGTCGAAATGCAAAATGTTGCTTCAAGATTGGGTTTCATCGGCACCTGAACTAGTGATAGGGAATGAAGTAGTCGAGTGAGTTGATCGCTTCACTTATCTGGGGGGCCTCATCAGTGCTGATGGCCTGGTGACTGACAAAATCTCAGCAAGGATACAGAAGGCTCGATAGGCTTTTGCCAACCTGCGTCACTTATGGCGTAGGCGAGATATCCGTTCTCTAATCAAAGGACGAGTGTACTGTGCAGCAGTTCGCTCCGTTCTCCTATATGGCTGTTAAACATGGCCAGTGAGAGTACAAGATATTCGTAGGTTACTGGTTTTCGATCATAGACGTCTTAGAAGCATTGCTCGTGTATCCTGGGACAACCGAGCGAGCGATGCTGCCATTAGGAAAAGAGTAATAGTTTAGGATAGCAGATCAATAGATAAAGTAGTGAAACTTCATCAGTTGAGGTGGTTGGGACATGTATTACGAATGCCCAACCACCGACTGCCTCGTCGAGCTATGTTTTGTGGTGTAGGAGGAGGTTGGAAGAAAGCTAGGGGCGGCCAGACCAAAACATTGCAGAAATCCATGAAGTCACTGACAAGTGGACTGAGTCATGTTGGTAGATTTGGACTACCTGGTTGGGGCCCGCAAGACGAAAGTCACCAATGGTTAGAGACCTTGAATGACATGGCTCAAAATCGTTTGCAATGGCGCAAGTGCATCCATTCTTTGAGCTCTCTCAAATCCTAATCTTATGGATTCGTCAGCACCTCTACCTTTCTCTTTCTAAACTTATCTCACTGAGTTATACTTCTTGAATAATATCTTCAAACCCTAGTCTTCTTCTCCTACTATCTTTATCACTATGGTATTTGATTTGACTTTTGCGTCTCTGTGCTAATGTAGTATGACAAAATGAACTTATGTACATACGTACGAAGTTCTACGTTGCAACTGACTAACTGATGAGTATTATTATGTGGTCAAGTCGAAGTAATATTTTTGCCTGTAATTACTGTCTGGTGGGTGGTCATGAAATACTGACTCAGTGATCTGAAGCTTAAGTGCTCACTACACAGTCCGAGTGTTGTGTCTTGATTCCAAATGAGGCCGTGTATGCCCGCTGCCAATGAGCCTCATAGTAGGATGAGACAGCTATCCAGTACTTCCTAGTTCTTAATTATTATTACTCGATTAAAGTTAGTCTATAATGTGAACTGTGGAGTTTCATTATCAGTTTAAGATTGACTTTAATGAACTGTATCGCTTATTCAAAGTTAGGGGTTCGTGTATAAAAAGTCTGAGCATGAGAACCGATACTAGTGTTTACTAATTGGATGTTATAAATGAAATTACTTCTTAGAACACATAGTATTTAGTGTAAGTATCTTGTTGATACTTGTATGAATTAGTCTACTGTGCACGATCCCAACGCTTGACAAACTCAACTATACAGAAAGAGAAAATAAAAATTATGTAAGAGGTTGTGTTACCCACTGTGCATTCATAAGTTATCAGATTCACTCAAATAACAACAGACGAGGAGTAAACTTGATCAACTGAGTAAGCCACTTTTAGTGATCACTTGCATTTCAGTCATCATGTTATGTTGAGATATTTCATGGTCTGTTTAATGTTTCAGTAGAAAAAATCAATTTGTGCATCTTACACAATTTAGGCTTCTTTTTAATACACAGAAAATATTTTGTTCATTTCATTATAGGTTTGTCCAATCTGTTCAGAACAAATGCCTGAACGTCGAAAATGGATGGTTGATGCACATATACGTGAAGCACATCCAGAAGCAGTAGTTGGACAAGTTAGCTCATCTTCACAAAATAAAAGCCATAAAAAGGCGGCTACATCGAAAGAAAATGTTAATAATAATGCAACTACTACTACTACTAATACTACTAATATTACTACTGATACTACTACCACGACTACTACTACTACCGTTGCTTCCACGACTACTACTACTACTGCTACTACTGCTACTACTACTACTCCAACTGCTTCCATTAAAAGTGCTACTCCAGAAAAGCGTACTAATAATTGTATGTTATCAGAACTAAGAAAATGGAAACATTTTAGACCAGATAAAGTCGACTCTTCAACTGATGATGATGATGATGACGACGAAGATGATGATGAAGATGAAGATGATGATGATGATCATGATTTAGACGGTGACGATGAGGAAGAAGAAGAAGAAGAGGATGAAGAACGAGAATCAAATTTTGATCGAAAATCATTTAAAGATTCCAATGATGACTACCATATTGATTTACCTGATGAAGAAGATACCAGTGTTCATTCTACAAATCATGATCAATCAGTAATAATAGAGGAAAACAGTTTATTATTAAAACAAACTAGTGGTGATCATCAAAAAATTGGCTTCAACATTGAAACGAACTCAATGAATCAACTAGAAGTGAATTGTAGAAAACAGAATGGTAAAATGAATTCGTTGAAAACATAATGATTCAAGTTTTATATGTAACTAGTTCGTTGAAATACAGAAAATAACACAATCAACTGTGTTGTAACGTAAATTTTGTTTTTCAATTCAAACAACAATAGATGAGAGAGACACAGAGAGAGAGAGAGAGAGAAACGGCACGAAGATTACTTTATTGTTTATCTATTTGATTTGTGTAAAAAAAGAAAATAATAGTTTATAACTTCAATTATCATTTGTTGCATCATTTCATTTGATTTCATTTCTATTTTTTTCTCATTTCATTTTATCCAGTGAATAATGAATATTCTAACCCCATTATTGGGTTTGCATTATTTTCTTGTTGTTGGACAGTTTCGATTCTTATAACTCTGAGTGATGTATTTATTGTTTGCATAATACTACTACTATTACTACTATACACAGTCATTCTCATTCTTGTCATTTTATCACGGTAAAAAATACATTGTATACTTGAGTATTACTCACTTACTTACTTACTTACTTACGCCTGTTACCCCCCAGTGGAGCATAGGATGCCGACCAATTTTCTCCAACCAACTCTGTCTGTCCAGGGCTTCCCTTTCCAGTTCTGTCCAATGTTTGTTCATTCTTCTCATATGTTTTTCTATTTCTCGGCGTAATGTGTTCCTTGGTCGTCCTCTTTTCCTTTTTGCCTTGAGGGTTCCAAGTGAGAGGGCTTGTCTTGTGACGCAGTTTGGTGCTTTTCGTAGTGTGTGTCCTATCCACATCCACCACTTCTTCCTGATTTCCTCCTCCACTGGAATCTGGTTTGTTCTTTCCCACAATACGTTGTTGCTGATGGTGTCTGGCCAACGAATCTGAAGTATTTTGCGTAGACAACTGTTAATAAACACTTGTATCTTCCGGAATATATATATATATAGTGGTTACTTATTTGATATTTCATTGATTGTGATTTTCGATATGATATGTGCTAATATTGTTTATGTGTGTTTGATCACTTAGACGGTTCCTCCTTTTTGGCCATGTTCATTGTTTCTGTTGTTTGGCGTATACACTAATCTTCGGATGATCATTTTTGGTGATGGCTGTCAGTGGAATCTAGAACATGTTTTATTCCGTTAAAGATTCATTAACCCAATATATTTGCATTCGCGTGTTGATGCTCATTGTCAGAAGTGCACTTTATCATTCTTTGTGACAGCTGTAAGATTTTAGTATCGGATTAGTTCAGTGATTAATTAATCTTCAGATTCACTTCACATTTATTCTAAGACCTGTGAGTTTATGTGAAGCACGATAACAATGTGATGTTAAATAGTTTCATGTAAAATGTTTTGGAAATATTTTATGGTATATATGCTTATCAGTAGCTAGGTCGTGAGAGTGGCTGAATAAGTAGAGTATGGATTTTGACTTTTAGTTAAATCTTGAGTATTTGGATTGATTCAGGAAATCAGTTAACGAGTTGATTAGTGGCTCAATCGTTAAAAAGCCATACACAAATACAAACATATGGGAAGATATATTAGTAAATAACGATACCTAGACCAACGGATATACACAAACAAGTAAAATGATTGTAATTAATTATTTGTTTGGTTTTAAGGTCACTTCAAACAGATTCGCATATAGTTTTGCCACATACTCACGCTGCTGAGCATTATTCGTATTCAAGGACTTGTGGAGTGGTAACGTTTCCATCAACACTGTCATGAGTTATGGAAATTTCATTTGAGGATTTAGTAAAACTAATCATGCAGTAGAACTAGGTCTCCAGTGAAGAGTATAATGACTATTATGAATGTAGATCATACGATACAGCATTTAAAGTACAGGGAACCTCGTGATACCAATATATTTTCTTCACACTTCGGCTTTCGATACTGTACAACCTACCTTCCCTATCGGAAACGACTTTCTTTTTCCGAATGCTCGTGTATTTAAATAATTGAGAGGTATCTCCGAACGTTAACTTGGTATGTTCGCCTTCCTGTGTAACTCCATGGTGACCAGAAATTTGTTCTTGTAGGTAGGCGAAAAAGCTAATGTTGGGCTGGTGAGACACCTTCCAAACATTACATTTGTTTTTTGAATCCTTTTCGCCTACTTTTCCCTTAAAAAGGTCATTTTTCTAGAAACCCTTAGGTAATAAAACTTTTATATTAACTGCCACCAAACATTAGAATAAAATGATCAAGAGAATAACTACTCCTTGTTAAACTACCTCCATGGGTTTATCTTATCGTCAAGCTAACTTAGGTATGAACTCATCACCAATCTACTGCCTTAGCTCACATTCAAACAACTAGCTGTTTTTGGTTAGGATAAGTTACCCCTTCTAAGAATACCTAATTTTCTGAGAGGATCAATTTTTTTTCAGTGTGATTACGATGTATTTAACTGTCCACGGTTATTATGAATGTAACTATTTTATTGGGTTGGAGCGCCAAAATGAAATTGATACTCAGGAAGCGCTGGACAACGAGGCGAGCAACATCACTAAAGTTTATTTATGCCTTTCTTCGGGATGCTGCAAAGCTTACTTAATTCAAGTTAGCCCTCAGAAATAGGTTCCAGGCCTTGCACGATCTACTCAATGCAGAGGAAACAACCATGGAGAACAGTTGGAAAGGGACCAAAGAGGCAATTACTTCGGCATGTCATAAGGATCTGAGCCACAAGAAGTACTATCACAAGAAATAGGTCTTTACTGGTGCTCTTGTAAAAATTTAAGAAAAGATGACCAAGAAAGAAGCAATCAATATCAGCTGAACAAGAGCAGAGTAAGTCAACGCAGAAGCTGAATATACAGGAGCAACCAAACAAGTGAAAAGGAGCATCGGGGCCGACAAACGTAAATATGTGGAAGATCTAGCAGTGACGGCGGAAAAGGTTGCAAGAGAAGGAAACATGAGACGATTGTACGATACAGCAAAGAAACTCGTTGGAAACTATCGTAAACCGGAACGACCAGTGAAAAGCAAGCAAAGCAAAGTAATCACTGACAATGAATATCAGCGAAACAGATGGATAGAACACGTAAAGTACTATTTGATCAAGCAGCCTTACTGAACCTACCCCACATCGAAGCAGCATACACGGACCTACCAATCAATGTTGGTCCACCAACATATGAAGAGGTCAGTACAGAAATCAGACAAGTCAAGAGCGGCAATGCAGCAGGACCAGACAGCATTTCAGCTGATGCACTGAAAGCAGATTTAGAAGTAGTTGCGAAATTTCTCCACATCCTCTTCATAAAGATTTGAGATGAAGAAGAAGTAACGACAGACTGGAAAGTTGTTACGAATGCATGTAAACACGTCAATTTGATATGCTTGAACTATTACGAGTTTACCTTAGTCGGAAAACGAGAGCGAGGATCCGGCGACACGACAGGCTACTCTAATCTGATCGTTTCCAAACCCCCTATTGAGTAACAGACTTGATATTAAGTAGGACCTGTATTGTACAAGATCACGGACTAGGGTTCCAGGTCATAAAACGTTACAGATAATGCGTATTTGTATATTTAGGTCGACCTGGGAACAACATTGAAGTCTGTGAAATAATACTGACCAGTAGGAATTGACCAATAGAATTAGACTTACAAAAATAATTCTCTTAGGATATTGGATGAATATCCTAACAAACGTAGTGTACCTAATCCAAATACTGAAGAAAGTCGATCTCAGCAAGTGTGAGAACATTATGGATCATTGTGGAGCAATCTAGTGAATGGAAAACACCACTTCACATCAACTTCACTGACTACGAGAAAGCATTCGATGGGGTGGACAGGACAAGACTATGGAGGCTTCTTCGACACTACGGCGTGCCTAAGAAAATAGTCAACATACGGAATACTTACGGTGGATTAAACTGAAAAATCATACACGGATGAAAATTCACAGTCTCGTTCGAGGTGAAAGACCGGTATCAAATGAGGGTGCTCAATCCCACCCTTTTTATTCTCCTGGTGATCAACTGGATTATGAACATGTCAGCATATGGAGGGAATCACGGGATAAAGTGGACCGCTAGGATGAAAATGGACTTCGCAGATGATCTTGCTCTTCTATCGCACACGCAAGAACAAATGCAATAGAATATGACAAGTATGGCATCAGCCTCAACACACACAAGAAATAAGGCAAGATTCTCCGATACAATAAAACATGCGCCAACCAAATTGCACTTGATGGAGAAGCTTTGGAGGTTGGGAAAGAACAAACTAGATTCCAGTGAAAGAAGAAATCAGAAAGAAACTCTGAAAGTGAAAAACATCTCGAACTTAAAACAACTATCAACCAACACCAAAGTTATAATTCTCAATACAAATGTCAAGACAGTTCTACTGTATGGGGTGGAAACGTGGGGGTGGGCTACCAACGCTGTCATTCTGAAGACACAAGTATTTACTAATGGTTGTCTACGCAAAATACTTTGGATCCGTTGGCCAGACACCATCAGCAACAACGTAATGTGGGAGACAACAAACCAGATTCCAGTAGAGGAGGAAATCAGGAAGAAACGCTTGAGGTGGATAGAACGCACAGTGCGGAAAGCACCCAACTGTGTCACAAGACAATTCCTCACCTGGAACGCTCGAGATCAAAGGAAAAGAGGAAGGTCAAGGGATACATTACTTCAAGAAACGGAGACAGACATGAGGATAAGAAACGAAAGTTGGAAAGAACTGGAATCAAAAAAGTATGCCATAGATCTTGGTGATGTTGTTTCTTATTCTTTTACCTGGGACGGTCAATCGAGAAAAAATCTCAGGAAAGTTCAAATCCAGGAAAAAATAGTATGTGCTTAACACTTCGATTCTCGCTTTAATTTGTAAGTAACTTGAAATGTTCCTGCTCGCGACGCCAGTATGATGATCAGAAGTATGTGAATCAAGAACTAAGGGATAAGCACAAACGAATGTATTGTATTTATAATTCGAAATCAAGCATTCCAAAACAACAAGAAGTTACTAGTTCATTCAAACACCACAGTTATACTATTACAAGCTGTATCGGCACCTTTTGTTGGTAAGTTCTCGGTATTAAAAGTCAAGAGAATGGACCCAGATTGCCTGATCGTTAAAGAATGATGTATAAAAAACAAATCAGGTAGAATTATACCCAAGTACATGATTGGGTTTCAAGATCAACTATGCAGGTGATTAGTGTTGAGTATTGGATTCTCTACGAGCTTGGGTGGGGGGATTCTTAAGTTTAAGTTAGTTCCTGGTTTGCTCTGTCGCTCAGACCATTTAGAAAGGATTACATATATTATGATACAATATTTCCGAAACATACAGAATAATTTGCAAGGTAAACTGATGTTTACTAAACATTTTATATAGACTTTTGCAATCTGGAAAAAACATTGTCAATGAAGCTCGTTAGGCGAATTCCTCTTTCATTACAACCATTTGAAAAACATTTCTTTATCAGGACGCACCAATCTCTATAAAAAATCAACATCAAGTAGATTATTTAACTTCAGTTTCTTCTGCCAACTAATCTGAAATGTCCTCATCGGCAAGGGCGCTAGAGTACTAAGGCGCCAACTACGAAAATATATCCTTGTAAAACAAAGGGCAATTGAGCGCGCCCGTTTTAAAGTGTGCGCTCCAAGATCCCAAGAATTATTACGCAATAAGGGTTAGCGCCCGTATAATTTTGTCTTATTTAATATGGTTTTAAACACGAAATTCAAGCTGAAGTGTTATTTATCGTATGTAGGATTTCTTAATGGCGTAGTAATCGTTATTGCACTTATAAATATGAGGCGAAAGTATAATGTACTGACGACATTGATTGGCCTATCAGCTAATCAGGAAACGCTACTTAGCTTTCAAACAATCGCCAGTGAAATAATAGCTTTGGTCTGGGTAATACTCACTGAATTGTCGAATTTTCCTTCATAGTGGAAGGAAAAATGCTAAGTTCGCCAAATATATGTCGGCCTTGTGTTATGAATGAACGTTTTTATCCCACAGTTTTCGTTATCAACTAAGGCCAGCTGTAATGTGATAAGATTAGGGCTAAATTCTTAGAGCAGAACTAAATTTCTGTTTCTCGTTCTTCACTTTAGCTATGATGCGATACTTTTTATCCTGCTGTTTGCAAACGTAAATAACTACCAGCTGAGATTCGAAATTGAATTTAGAACTCTAGGGCGTTATCTAGTTCTACTCAGCATTCTTGACAGTGCACTGAATTAAGAAAAGAACCTGAGCATTCGATTCACCTTGCGAGCAATATTGGTTTGTTATTTAGCTTTAGCACCATCCTAAATTCACATTTCAGTTTTTTAAGAAACATTTTGTTGATCCGAAGCATGTCAAGGACAATATGTTGCTAATTCTTCCATCACAAATAACCATAAAAGTTATCTATTGCTTTATATCAAATGCCGTGCAAAATACGTAAGATAACATCTCGATTCTGACTTGTTCACACAAGCCCGTCAGTGTATTATTCTTTGACCAAGTATTCACATTTATTATCATATGTGAAACGTTTTAGTGTAAGTATCGCATATTTAATTCAGAGTAGAGGTTATATGTCGCACTGACGTATCTGACGTCTGAACATTGTTTTCATTCTCTCACTTCTTAGTTACAACTTGAACTTTATACGTACGTACGTAAATTGAAGTTGCCATATCACATTAACGCATAGACGTAGTTGTCAGTTCAGACCCCATAGCAATAGACATAGTAGAAGTATCAGCGGCAATCGGAGAGATTAGGGTTCGAATATATATGCATCTACCAACAAGACTCAGTCCATTTGTCAGTTGCTTCATGGATTTGTGACATATTTTGGTTTGGCCGCCCCTAGATTTCTTCCAACCTATTCCTACACCGCAAAAAGAGCTCGACAAGGCAGTGTTTGGGCATTTGTAACACATCCCAACCGCCTCAACTGATAAACATTCACTACTTCATCTGCTGATCTGACATCCTTGCGTAATACTTTTTTCCTAACGACAGCATTGCTCATCCGGTTGTCCCAGAGTACACGAAAAATTCTTCAAAGGCACCTGTGATAGAATACTAGTAGCTTACGAATATCCTCTAAGCTTAGTGGCCATGTTTCACACCCGTATAGTAGGACACAGCGAACAGCTGCTCAGTAGACTCGTCGTTTAGTTGGCAAGCGGATATCTCGGTTACGCCATAAGTGGCACAAGTTGCCAAAAGCCGGTCAATCCTTCTGTGTCCGTGCTGAGAGTTCGTCAGTCACCAGACCATCAGCACTGATGAGACTCCCAAGATAAGTGAAGCGGTCAACACGCTCAACTGCTTCACTCCCTATCACCACTAGTTCAGGTTCCGATGCAAGCCAATCCTGAAGCAACATTTTGCATTTGGAAGGGAAGAATCGCTTCCGGAACCTGTTTGCGTTGTTGCTTAGGGTAGTCAGATGACTTTGCGTTTTTTCAGTGTCTTCACCAAGTAGAACAATGTCATCGGTATATTCTAAATCAACGAGCGAATCTCCTGGTAAAGGTTCGAAGTCAGACGAAGGTAATGTTTTAATTTGAATGACGGGCTACCTAGTTTATAGTTTGGCTTTGTATTCTAGGCAAGTTAGACACTATCAGCAGTTTATCATCTCAAATTGACTACTTGGTTGCAAATTTTGATGTATTCGTCACTTGAAAATCGCCACAGTCAACGTCCTTTTTAGAAACATGTGTGATAAAGTTGCAACAGTTGTCGCATTGTGCAGCGTACATAGGTTACTTTTATGGGTTAACCTCTTTATATGTCTGTTAAACGCTTGACAAATGGTTGGTCAGTGAATATTTTCTGTCAACCCTTACATAACTGCTAAATTTCGACCGTAGCTGCTACCTTGACATGGTGTTGGGCTTAACTGTCGTGATGACCCAACCTATCTATGTTGGCCGGAACGTATGTTCCTTTAGGTTCTACCATACCAGGCAGATTGACTTGAAAACAGTAAGACTAAAAGCAGTAACTCAAGGTCTGAGGGTGAAGTTGTACTGCTGGCTGTAGAAAGGTGTGACAACAATATGGTGTTTCCCTCGTACAACCAGCACCTGCAGCGATGCTGCCATCTCAAAAATAAGGAAGGGGTTAGAGAAGGCCGACCCTAAAAATGTTACACCTCACCTTATCCCACGAACTTCCATCTCCAGGAGTAAGGTCATTTAAAGAGGAGAGCTAACACGTCAAAAACTTCCCATAAAAATGCTGCGTGTGACTGGCCACAAGTAGTTGTCCCTTGGGCTCTCCAGTCACGCTCTCGGGTCGCTCAGAATAACACTAATCCAACTTCCTTTCCAGGTTCCTCAAGAGACACCCCTCCATGGTGTTGGTAACTGAAAAGTGACACCCGCCCTCATACCTGTAACTGTACACGAAACGTTATTCCTTGTCTCCTGAAACCACACTTTAAACTACGTGTTGGAGTTTTTTATGTTCGGAGTTTGTGCAAAATAGGGCAACAGGCTTCCTTAGCTGTGACTCTGGAATCTCGTGCTATCGATATATACTGCGTCTCCGAAACGCGCATATAGGACCCGAGTCGTGTCATACATTCGACCTCATTTTGTCAAGATAAAGAACCAACTAGATTTACACTTCGTGTGTCTGGAAGCCCCACTGCTGCTTCCTGTGATCTCGCTAGTGTATGTATAGCATCAAATTCCAAAGACTCGACCACAGTAGATAATCGCTTATGCGCTGTCTGACTAAACGGGACTTGGAAAGATGGGGGCACTCGCCACTGCCTCTTGTATCTGCCTACGCTCCCACTGACAATATTTTAGATAGCAGTTCAACTGGCCTTCAGCCACACTTCGTTTGCCTGCAAACTCCAGTCAACCTGAATGGCGAATTGATGTAAATCCTTCAACTTTTATTGAAGTTAGGAAGACTGTAGGAAATCTAGACGGAGAGCAGCCGGTCTAGATAAGTTAACCCATGAGATTTTCAAGGATAGTGGTTCAGTTTTAGCAGTTAGGTTGACTGAGGTCTTAGGTAGAACTGGCGGAACTGGACGTAATCTCACCTGACTGTTCTTAATCGTTGACTGTCCAAGTTCACAAGAAGGTAAAAAGCTCCTCTTGTAACAATCACAGATGAATCAGTCTAACTAATATAGTGTCTAAAACGTTAGCTTCGAAAATACTTCGACACCTAACTAGAGCTCGTATTCCTCGACCTTAAGGCGGCATTTGACTCTGCTGATTGTGAGATTCTGTAGCGTGTTGACCGCTTCACTTATCTTGGGAGTCTCATCAGTGCTGATGGTCTGATGACACTGACGAAGTCTCAGCACGGACACAGAAGGCTTGACCGGATTTTGGCAACTTGTGTCACTTATGGCGTAGGCGAGATATTCGTCAGATGTACGAAGTCCTGGAAGGATATTTTACAAAAAAAAGCCAATCCATCTCATAAATACTTTCAATACAAATCGATATAATCAGAACAAGATAAAAATATATCTTGTACCATAATATATCACATTAAACTCTATTTAGTCATGAACTGCACAGAATTATTACTATTCATATTATTATTATTATTATTATTATTATTATTATTATTATTATCATTGCCACTGTGTTTCTTACTTCTCACAATACACTTTTTATTTTTTCAGATAGACAATTATTTGAAACACTTACATCTATCTGTCAATTCAATTGTGTTATGGGTAAAGACAGGCGTGTTGTATATTTTTACGATCCAGATTGTGGGAATTTTCATTATGGTTAGTATTTTGAATATCACAAAAGAACACAGAAAACATGGAATTATTTTCTCTCTCTCTCTGTTCATTATTATATTAGGACCAAATCATCCGATGAAACCGCATCGACTTACACTTACGCATACTCTTGTAGTCAATTACAATCTAACTGATCGTATGAAAGTAGGCGGCGAGATTATTATTTTCTAAACTTTTGTTAACTTTTGTCCATCGTCTAAAAGGTCTATAAACCATATCATGCTAGTATGAAGGATATGATATCGTTTCATTCACAAGAATACATTGAATTCTTACGTGATGTTACACCAACTAATGTACATACATTTCCTAAAGAAAAATTATTAACTTATAATATTGGTGAAGATTGGTAAGTTGCATTAAAAGTGTGTGTTTTTTTACCGAGAATTCTGTCTTTGCTCTTTTTAGTCCAATTTTCGATGGTATCTATCGATTCTCATCGATTCACACTGGTGCCTCGTTGCAAGCTGCTAAATATTTAAATAATGGAGTATGTGTGTGTATAAATAATTAAAATGATCAATTATCAATTGTTTTTTTCCCCAAGGTCACAGATATTGCAATCAATTGGTCTGGTGGATTGCATCATGCTAAAAAATTTGAAGTAAGATGTTAAATTTGTGAATTTATTTTTTTTTACTTTTTTAGGCATCTGGATTTTGTTATGTCAATGATATTGTCATAGCTATATTAGAATTATTGAAATATAATCCACGTGTACTCTACATTGATATTGATGTTCATCATGGAGATGGTGTACAAGAAGCATTCTATTTGACAGATCGTGTCATGACAGTATCGTTTCATCGTTATGGAAATATGTTCTTTCCTGGAACAGGTAGGAGCTGGTGTTTTTTCTCTCTCCCTTTCTCTCTCTCATTTATTTCAAACAACCAGAAAAAACACTTATGAATGTTACAATCATTTCAATTTGTTTAATCTAGAACGGTTTATAATCATACTCATCGCTCTGACACCATCGACCTTTCGACTAAGCATATATATATATATATAAATTATATCTGAACCTTATGGTGTAGGCGAGATATCCATTTGCTAACTAAAGGACGAGTCTGCTGTGCATCATTTCGCTCCATCCTCTTATACGGGTGTGAAACATGGCCGAGAAGAGTTCAGGATATTCGTAGGTTATTAGCATTCAATTATAGATGTCTTCAAAGCATTGCTCTCTCCCATCCTGGAACAACCGTGTAAGCAATGCTGTCGTTAGGAAATGAGTACTAGGTAAGGGTAGCAGATCAATAGATGAAGTATTGGAAATTCATCAGTTGAGGTGGCTGGGACATGTGTTACGTATGTCCAACTGCAGACTGCCTAGACGAGCGATAATTTGTGGTGTAGGAGTAGGTCGGAAGAAAGCTAGGGCGGTAAACCCAAAACATGGCAGAAATCCCTGAAGTCACTGACAAGTGGACTGAGTCATGTTGGTAGATGTAAACTACCTAATTGGGGTCCACCAGAGGACAGAAATCGACATGGCTCAAAGTCGTTTGCAATTGTGCAGGTGCATTCACTCTATGTTTTCCCGAATTCTAATCTTCTGAATTCCTCATCACCCCTATCTTTCTCTTTCTAAATTTATCTCACTGAATTATACTTCTTGAATAATGTCTTCGAACCCTAATCTTCTCTATTCCACTAATACTTCTACCATTTTTAAACACTCTGGGATTTGAGCTGACATTTGCGTCTCTATACTAATGTGGTATAACAACATGAACTTATGTACGTACACATCAAGTTATATCTAAACCTGCGTTTCCTCTCGTATTAAACAGAATTATCATAGCAACGGCCATATTGTACTTCACTGAATACTCGCTCATTAATAGTAGAGTAAAACTAACATGTCACTCATGACGGTCTACACCCGGTTCACTTTCCCCCTATGCCCAAACTTTACTAAACGTTGAGATTATCTTTCATTTTAATACAAAATGCATTATTCAATGATTTCTGAACTTACTTACTTACTTACTTACTTACGCCTGTTACCCCCAATGGAGCATAGGCCGCCCACCAGTTTTCTCCAACCAACTCTGTCCTGGGCTTCCCTCTCCAGTTCTGTCCATTGCTTGTTCATTCCTCTCATATCTTTCTCTATTTTTCGGCGTAATGTGTTCCTTGGCCTTCCTCTTTTCCTTTCGCCTTGAGGGTTCCACGTGAGGGCTTGTCTCGTGACGCAGTTAGGTGCTTTTCGTAGTGTGTGTCCTATCCACATCCACCGCTTCTTCCTCATTTCCTCCTCCACTGGAATGTGGTTTGTTCTCTCCCACAGTACGTTGTTACTGATGTTGTCTGGCCAACGAATCTGAAGTATTTTGTGTAGACAACTCTTAATAAGCACTTGTATCTTCTAGATTGATGGCTTTGGTAGTTCTCCAAGTTTCCGCTCCATACAATAGAACAGCTCTCTTGACATTTGTATTGAAAATCTTGATTTTGGTTAGGGTTGAACGTTGTTTGGAGTTCCATATATTTTTCAACTGTAGAAATGCAGCCCTTGCTTTGCCGATCCGCGTCCTCAAATCTGCATCGGATCCACCTTCCCCGTCAATGATGCTGCTAAGATACGTAAAGGTGTTAACGTCCTCTAAGGCATCTCCATGAAGAGTGATTTGGTTGGTGCATGTTGTGTTGCATCGGAGAATTTTGCTTTTTCCTTTATGTATGTTGAGACCTGCTGCTGCTACACTGGTCGTTTTCTCTTGCATTTGTTGTTGCGTGTGCGATAGAAGAGCCATGTCATCTGCGAAGTCCAGATCGTCCTGCTGCGTCCTAACTGTCCGGTGATTACCGTGCTCCCCTCCAGATGCTGACGTCTTCATAATCTAGTCGATCACCAGGAGAAAGAGAATACTGACAACATTTATCAGTTCCATAAATCCGATTGAGTTGATTCATCAAATCTATTAATTTTAAAGTGGTTCTTTATTTTTACACACACACGCACACCCATACATTCTCCCTAATTGATTCAGGAATGATCAAGTGTACAATAGTGTTTCGGTGATAATGTCCAACTATTTGATGAATGATACTGAAAAAGTATATGCAGTTTCTTCTTTTTTCATATATCATAAACATGTCGTGCATGCACTAGATGAATAAATCTTTATACATAACCGAGGTGAAAGAAGAGTGACCACCCCTCACCACTTCTAAGAAAACCATGTACTTTGGTTGAAGGCAGGCACCTGGTCAGTATTCCAGTCCATAGACAACTTCAATGATTCATGAAATGCATTTATGTATTCTACTTTCGCTTTGTACCAATGTCTATATGTGTTAAAAATCAAATAAATTAACAGAAGGAAAGCATCTAGAGATTTATAATCTGCCAAATAAAATTACACTTGTTCTGTGAAATAAAAAGCATTATGTTTAGTGATAGCCCTTCTGTATATTATTTTTGATGATAGACTCTAAAGCATGACAAATATGTTTAAAAAGTTTTGTCGTACAAAAATTTACTTTTTATGGTGAATGAAGATGTTAAGACTAGATGTTTTTGTAAAGTGGACTAGATGTTTCATTTCACTTGTCTTCATCATACATCCCCGGATCCGTTACTGTTCACTTTTAGCAGTAAGTAACTCTTAGGCATCGCTGTTCTAAAGATTACTTGTAAAACACATTATGCATACTATACATCATACTATATCTTTAAAATATATTCTACAGGTTATAGATTTGTTGATCTTCATCCATAACATAAAATAACCGTACTAAATAATAACCAGTATTAAATGAATTCTAAGTATAAACTAACTACGGTTGATATCTTTAAGGATTTCAGTTATTCACTTTGACTTCTACTACTAACTAAATACAATTTATATTTTAAGTCAGTTTGTTTTCTTGAACTTTTTCAAAGTTTTGTCGTAATACATATATTACTAATCAACGAATTATATTTTGAAAAACTCGAGTATTTCGAAAAAATATACCTGTTTTTTCTTGGAAACGTTTTGACTACTGATAATATTTTAAGTAGCGTTTTAAGTATTGTATCATTTTTGCTGATAGGCCTGTGTCGCTTTCATCTAACATCAACAAGACCTGATTTTCCTCGTCTAACAAATAGATAAACCAATTCATCTATTGAATTGATGTTATATAATGACTTATTATGGAATAAAGATCTGTGAACATTGGGATTATTTAAATTTCAAATATAATTTTCACAAATGTACTCGGCGTCCAATTTCTGTCAGACTACTCGTTCATGTATTGACGAATTTTTGTATGAATCCTTCAAGTTTTGAGGAAAACTAAGGGAGACATTCAACATTAATAACTTATTATAGTGGATTTCCCTAATAAATTCTTGAATTTACCAATGTATTTCCTGAAATAGAACAGAACAACTGTTACTGTTAGTAGTAGAGATGGATAGTGGTTAAGCAGTGCAATCCAGGGCATTCGTTTCGTCCTATTTGGGACTCGTCAGCTGAGTATGCCTACATCTGCGAGTTATTATCCCCAGGACTCGAACCTAGTACTTTTGGCTTCAAACGCCATTGCGTTATCCACTTAGCTATTGAGTTCAAATAGCCAATAGCTTGTGTCATGATGAGGTGCAGGTTAACCCATTTAAATCTTCCCATTGATGTTTAGGAGTGAAATTGATCGGTCTCTTTTGGCAGGTATTCATCTTGTACAAATTACTAGCCACCATCCATTTCTGCAAATAATGCCTATAACCTAACCTAAAGGCAATATCGAGGCAATCCACATATATATATATATATATATATATATAAATTCAATTTTACGTTAAAACGCGAATCAATTTATCGATATAATTGTATGTAAATACCTCCTGATGAGACAACAACCCTGGTTTTATCTTTTTTTTCTAAAATAGATATTAAGATCTTCAAATGTTTAAGAACTAACCAACTAACTAACATAAAAGCTTTTATTTTTGGTAAAATATATATATATATATATGTATATGCTTAATTTAACGATAAAATGTTTGGATAATAAACACTTAATTAATCAATAGATAAGAGAATTCTTTGAAATGGAATACAAGTTTGTAACTAACTGTTTACTTGTCCAGTTTGTTGATGTATAAAGATTGGACAAGATTGATGTGTTGTACCTCAATCTTATCAAACAGACATCGTTATTTATCATCAGTGTATTGTGAAACCTGTTGACTGTGTGTCTGTCTATCTGTCTGTCTGTCTGTCTGTCAAAGTTGCGAATAAAAATGTCAACACAAAAAATAATGATTTACCGACACAATTTACGAAAGTTAACATTTGGAAACATATAATTAGTTTTTTTAACAATCTTGCAGATATATATATATATATATATATATATATATATATATATCAATGTCGGTATAAATGTGTTGGCATGAATTTTGATTGATATATTGTGACACAATGCAGTTAGCTATGTTAAACGATTAAATAAACTAGTCGATGAGGTGGTGTGTTAGATCTACCAGGTAGCCTTTAACTGACGACAATCAATCAATTTCTAATGGTTTCTAATGGTAGTCTAACATTGATCGATTCATGGTTTCGAAAATATGTAACTTACCAATCTTCACAACCCCTGTAATGAAAATTACCTGTGCTCACTAGTGACTAGCTTCGTGAGGAATCTTCTCTGAGTTCTAGTGGGAAGACGTGACCAGTGAAGTTCAATCTGTTCGGGTGTAGACAGTGTCTACCGAAGACTGTGTATGAGGTTGCGCAACTCCGTGAATTTGATCAAGTTAGACATTAACACCGTTAGATGCCGGCTCAGTGGTCTAACGGTTAGGGCAATACCGAAGGTCCTGGTTTCGAATCCTGCGGGATGCAGGAGTCGTGGATGCGCACTGCTGAGGAGTCCCATACCAGAACGAAACGGCCGTCCAGTGCTTCCGGCCTCTAATGGTGGTCTAACATTGATCGATTCATGGTTTCAAAAATGTGTAATCAATCAATTCACAAACTAATTTTTTAATTCGGCTTTTTTTTCTTCAATTGAAATGAAAAAATCCTCAATATCAATGAGAGTTGTGAAGGTTGTTTATTGTGTTTCATTGATTGAAATCATAAAACTGATCAAAATGCTAATTCAACCAGCGCATTGATCAATTCGTTTATTTCTGAGTACTACTGAGAAGACTGAGACAGGCGCGGAAGATTGTATTATGCAGATTTACACTCTTAGTCAATTAAAAACGAAAACATTATATTGAACACTCTATTTGCACACCATCTTTGAATCCTGACTTCTATCGCTCCAGCCTTCTTCCATTCCTGTTGTTGCTTCCTTTACTTCCTGTTGGTACTCCATTTGCTTTCCGTTTTCCTCTTCTGACCGTGAGAGTTCTTCTTTCACGTCCATTCTTATACTACTTATATCGTTCGTATAAGTAGCACACACCACACTACTACTACTCAAGGAAATTGAGTAATATATTTATTAGGCGTTTATTATTTTTTCTAGCACATTGAATTCAAAATTAAAGGAGGCGGTCAGAGATCATGTTTTGTTTGATTTTTTGGTTACATTATATTGATCAAAGTATCACATAATCAGGTTAGATATTTGATTGGTACATGAGTTTAATTGATTAATTTTTGAACCATAAGAACGTCAGTGAATATAAAAAGTTGATATTTTTTTTCTAATTAACGGGAATTTTCAATGTAGTCGATCGTAAGTAGTTGTGAAAGTTATCGTTTGTCTTAATTGGTTGTGTGTGTATGTATGTGTGCTTGCGCACGCGTGCACAAAATAAATAACTTGATAGTTTCTTTGTTTCGTGTAAATGATTTTGTTTGTTCTACTGAAATATTTAAACACACCGAATGATCATAACAAGTGTGATAAAAATAAATATAGACAAACTATCCAAGGTCAAGCCGATCAACACAAACTGATCTAGCTATTTGAAAGCAATATTCATGGTTTAGTAGTTTCTTGTGTTATATATACTCATAACTAACAACCCTAATCACTCAATCACTCACTCACTCAATTTTACACATTTTTTATTGGACAAGTCATATAGAAGTTTAATATAAATTTGGACAATTGTTAGTTGAATAAGCTTCATTTTTGGACAAGGTGATTTACATGAAAATTATACACATTTGTGCTCTTCATGTTTATTATGAGCATTCGCATCAGATATATTGATAGTAAACATTAAACAGTAACGCACATCCTACCCGACCGTAGCTGCTACCTTGACGTGGTGGTCGGGCTTGACTATCGTGATGACCCAACCGAGCTATATCGGCTGGAACATATGTTCTTGAAGGTGCTATCGTGCCAGGCAGGTCGATTGGAGAACGATGAGACTAAAAGCAGCTACTGAAGGTCTGTGGGCGAAGTCGTACTGCTGTTTGCAGACGGGTGTGACAGCAGCAAGGTGTTTATCTCGGACAACCAGCATCTGCAGCGATGCTGCCTTCTCACAAGGAAGAAAGGCTTAGAAGAGGTCGACCCTAAAAATGTCACACCTCACCTTACTTCATGGATTTCCGTCTCCGGAGGTAAGGGTTCCCACTAAGGGCTTTTAACAGCGAAGCTACTACTAAAAAAACCTTCCATCAAAAGGCCGTCCGTGACCGGCCTCAAGCAGTTATCCCTTGGACTGTGCGGTCACGCTCCCAGGTCGTTAAGACCAACGCTAATCTACCTTCCTTTTCAGGTTCTTCAAGAAACAACCTTCCAAGGTGTGGGCAACCGAAAAGTGACATCCGCCCTCATGCCCGTACGAGCACACGAGACCGAATTGGTCAAAATCAAATCCTTCTTACACCCCCTAATATCTCTCTTATCTCTACGACTAACTCTAGTCGCATTCATTCAGCTCACTGTCTGCACATACAGCATTGCTTTTCATGCTTAATTTAAACAAATAGCAAAAATTCATTCAGTTTATTTGGTTTCTTCTTGTGTAATTCTGTTTTTTATTTTTATTTTGATAGGTGATATGTATGAGATTGGAGCTAAAGCTGGTAAATACTATGCAGTGAATGTTCCTTTAAAAGAAGGCATTGATGATGATAGTAGGTTTAACAGTGTATTATCTGTCTGTCTGTCTATCTCTTTTCTTCATCATAAACGTTTGATTGATGGTCTGATTTGATTATCTCTAGGTTGTTCGTTTTAAATGTTTGTTAGTTTCAAGCTCAGTGAACCTACTACCAATTTGAACAATATAATTACAGAATGCTAACTCAACCTAATAATATAGATCTGTTGAAACGTTTCTGACAACCAGAGTCCATCCACAGTGTGGACAGCTGGGAAGTAACATTCGCCCTCATACTCGTCAAAGCACATGAGGCCAAATCGGTCACAATCAAATTCTTTCTACACCTCTTAATAATTTTCTCATCTCTACGATCAACCCTTCTTTCGTTCCTTTGTCACCTCGCGCCGCTGATGCCAACGTTTCCAGCTCACGAAACGTTATTCCTGGTTTTCTGAAACCCCGTCCTGAACTAGATGTTGTAGCTATTAATGTTCGGATACTGTACCACATAGGAACTAATAGATGTTCTGAAACTCATCCCGATCTGAACATGATGGAGAGTGAGTTCAGTTTAGGCGCAGGCTGATTAAAAGCCTACTCAACGATCACGAACAGTGTTGGTTAGTGAAAGCGAGAGAGATGGAAAAGGCAGCGGCGATAGGCAATAGTAGACAACCGTTCAGACTTATTAAGGAAATGTAAGTGAGACTATCTCGGAAAAAAATGGGTTTACTATCTATTCTCAACCCAGTAGATTGGACCGTTGGACATCAGTTTAACTAATATAGTGTCTAAATTGTTAGTCTCGATTATACTTAGACACCTAACTAGAGCTCGTGAAGAGTGGACTAGAGAAAACCAGGTTGAATTTCGACCTGGACGTGTCTGTATAGATCGGATATTCACACTACGACAGGTTATGGAACACAGATAAACATTTAGGCGTCCGACAATAATTGTCTTCCTGGACCTCAAGGCAACATTCGACTTTGTTGATCGTGATATTCCGTGGCAGTGTCTGTCGTTAAAAGGTGACTACAGAAGTATATTAACCTTATACAGGGTCTCTACTCGAACACTACAGGTCGAGTTAGAGCTTATGGCGAACTGTCATCGGAATTCTTTACTTCAAGTGGTGTCCCTCAGGGATGTCCACTTTCTACATTCTTGTTTAATTTTGTCATAGACATGCTTCTAGATATAACATTATCTTCGTTTGAATCTTCAGGAGTAAAACTTCTACCAGGAGATTCACTGGTTAACGTAGAATAAGCCGATGACATAGTCCTACTTGGTGAAGACGCTGGAAAAATGCAGTGTCTCCTGACTACCCTAAATAACAATGCAAGCATGTTCGGGAAGTGATTCTTTCCTTACAAATGCAAAATGTTGTTTCAGGATTGGCTTGCATCGGCACCTGAACTAGTGATGATAGGAAGTGAAGCAGTTGAGCGTGTTGATCGCTTCACTTATCTTGGGAGTCTCATCAGTGCTGATGGTCTGGTGACTGACGAAATCTCAGCACGGACACAGAAGGTTCAATCGGCTTTTGCCAACTTGTGTCACTTGTGGCGTAACCGAGATATCCGTTTGCTAACTAAAGGACGAGTCTACTGCGCAGCAGTTCGCTCCGTCCTACTTTACGGGTGTGAAACATGACAATTAGGAATAGAGGATATTCGTAGGTTACTGGTATTCGGTCATCTGTGTCGTCGATTCGTCCTTCGACAATCGAGTAAGCAATGCTGTTGTTAAGAAAAGGGTATTAGGTAAGGATGTCAGACCAACAGATGAAGTAGTGAAAGTTCATCAGGTGAGGTGGTTGGGACATGTGCCTGGGCGAGCGATGTTTTGTGAGGAAGTAGGTTGGCAGAGAGCTACGAGCAGCCAGACCAAAACATGGCAGAAATTCATGAAGTCAGTGACAACTGGACTGAACCATGTCAGTAAGTGTAGGCTACCTGGTTGGGGTCCGTGAGATGATAGTAATCGATGGTTAGAGACGTTGAATGACATGGCGCAAAACCGTTTGCAATAACGGAGGTGCATCCATTCTTTGGCTTCTCTCAAATCCTAATCATCTGGATTCTTCATCACCTTTATCTTTTTCTTTTTAGGTTTATTTCAATAGATTACACTTCTTGAATATTATCTTCGAACCCTAATCACTCCCAATACTGCGAATACTTCTACTACCTCAACTACTGTGGTATTTGAATTGACATTCGCGTTTTTGTGCTAATGTGATCATGGAAGCTTGAACTGATGTATATACGTACGAAGCTATACATTGTAACTGACTGACTGACTGAAGTGAATGCTTAAATGTTTAGTTAACTAGAAATACAATAATATTGCTAATAGTAAGATTGATTATAGAGTTATGAAGATTGTTGTTTTTCATTGAGGTCATGAATCAATCATTGTTAGACCACCTGAAAGGCCTGGACGGCCGTTTTGCTCTAGTATGGGACTCGTAAGCAGTGCATATCTACGACCCGGGCATGCGGTAATCGAACCCAGAACCTTCGGTCTCGCACGCGAACGCTTTAGCTCTAGACCACTGACCCGGCATCCAGCGGTGTTAATGTCTAATTTCAAGTAATCCACAGTCTTGTGCAACCTCATCTATTATCTTTAGTAAGTAACTTCCTATACCTAACAGGGTTGAAAGCCATTACTGATCACAACTTCTCACTAGAACTCTGAGAATTTCCTCACAAAGCTAGTCATTAGCGAGTACATTGTAATATGCTAGTCTAACAATAATTGATTTATGATTTCAATTTTTATAGTTGTGACAATGAATTTTATCTGACATATTCAATACTAAAACAGATTTGATACTTTTCACATAAATAAGTTACTTGGTATAATGTTACCAAATCTGTCTATGTCTTTGGGTTTTGACCGGCTAACTTTTAGGATTCAAACATTCTCATACTTTTGGTTAAAGTAATCCGATAATATTTACCATCAATCCTCGACTATAAGCTATGATAAATTATATTGTCTTCATTGAATAAGTATTTCAATCAATAGAGATATAATTCACTGGTGAAAGTATTGTGTTGATTATCGAAACTTAGTTCAGGTTATTAAAAAAACAATTTACTTTGTTATTGTTGTTGCCAAATTTCAGTGTACTTCAGTGTTTTTCGAGCTGTTATCAATGATGTAGTTGCATTTTATCGACCAACAACTATTGTCCTACAATGTGGTGCTGATTCATTAGGTTGTGATCGATTAGGTGTATTCAATCTGTCTATTCGAGGTCATGGGTAAGTTTTGAGTTTTGTAAGAAAATTGGTGAATGAATTTGTTACGACGCATGCACGTATAATACATGTCAATTTGATATGCTTTTGAACTATTACGAGTTTATCTTAAGTCAGTAAAAACGAGAGTGAGGATGGATGGATGGATGATACGGCGACACGATAGGCTACTGAAATCTGATTGTCCCAACCCCCCTCATTGAGTAAAAGAAGAAGACTTGATATGAAGTAGGACATGTATTCTACAAGCATCCAGAAATTACGAGGTCCGAGTCCGGAAAAGAATTAGGATCCCAGACTAGGGATCCTGGTCATAAAACGTTACAGATAATGCATACTTATACAGTTAGGTCGAATAAGAGACAACATTGAAGTTTGTGACATTGATAGTTAAGACGACCAATAGGAATGGACCATTAGAATTCGACTTACAAACAATCCTCTCGGGATATTGGATGAATATCCTAACATAATTCAGCTTAGATGAATTAGTCGTTAACAAGCATAACATTTTCAGTTAGAGCTATGGAGATTTGTGTTTTTACACATTTGAAATCATCAACGAATCATTGTTAGACTACCATTAGAAACCTGGACGCACTGGACGGCCGTTTCGTCCTGGTATGGGACTCATCAGCAGTGCGCATCCACGACTCCTGCACCTCGCAGGATTCGAACCCGGGACCTTCGGTATTGTGCGCGAACGCCTAACCATTGGACCACTGGGCCGGCATCTAACGGTGTTAATGTCTAACTTTGATTGATCTAGGGATTTTGCGCGACCTCACCCATTTGTCTTTGGTAGTTACTGCCTACACCCAACAGGGTTGAACTCCATTGGTCACGTCCTCTCTCACTAGAACTCCGAGAATTTCCTCACGAAGCTAGTCACTAGTGAGCACTGTTGTATTTGCCTATCAGCTGTAGCAGCTCTGATTTCCGAAATATTTATGTTTCGTCTTCCTGTCAATTATGACATCAATGCACAAATTGTTTGATAGCTCTTACTTGTAGGTACGTTGAGTAGACAGTTCTGTGGTATGGAGACCGAAAATCGATATATATATATATATCATTGGTCCTAGATCCAATAATCCTCGAATATAAATATCTGCTCATCATGGTTATTAGATCTTTGCGTGTACTTCAACTCCAAGTGTAGATCTTATTTCTCATGTAATATTCTAAAATAAATACTGACCTAAACTAGTATACTGTTGTATTATAGATATCCTCATCAGAAATTCACTCATTATGAAGTTTTTTTCTCAATGCACAGAATTTATGCATCCGGTGGGAATTCAAACACCTCTTACCCATTGACATATATTTGATCTTGTAGATGACTTTCAGCAAGACCGAGGTATTTACAATCAACACAAATTCTAACACGAATATGCATCACCTCAAGTTGCCGCGCCACACAATTCTCACAGCGATGAATAACAAAATTATCCAAATAATTTAGTACAGACGATAATGAGGAAGGCTAAGCAAAGAGAGCATGATCCGAAATGATAAAATAAGAGTACTTTATAAAGGAATATACTAGAATTCAAGATCTCGAAGAATATAAAAGTTGACTGAATAATGCACAGATTTCAGCACTTTTTTGTATGCAAATACACTAGGAATTACTTTTTTTCTGGGTAGCGCTTTTTTAGCGAGTCGGTTTTCTACAGGGTGTGGGGTTCCTAACTCTATGTCCTCCTTTATCCGGGCTTGGGACCGGTGATAATCCCAGAAGTACTCCAGGCAGAAGAATGAGAATTCAAGTTAATGGAGGCTGAGTATAATTAATCATCTATAAGATTTAAATATAAACAATTTATTCCCTTATGTACTTGGTTTCGAACTATGTACTAACTTTGTGTATGATAAAATTCTAGTCTCATTGAAATCATCAGATCTGGGAGCACCGGACGGTCGTTTTGTGCCAGTATGGGACTCGTCAGTAGTGCGCATCCACGACCAACGGCTTGCGGGAATCGAACCCAGAACCCTTGTTACCGACCGCGAACAATTAACCCTAAGACCACTGGGCTGTCAGTGTTTAACTGAAATCAGTATACCGTATTGCGCGACCCCATACATTGTCTTCTGTGGGCATTGCTTTACACCCAACAGGATGAAACTTCACTGATCACGTCTTCTCATTAGAACCTGGTGGAAATTTCCCGACGAGTCTAGTCTTAAAGTGAGGAAACGTAGGGAAATGGGAGGTGTAGCTACAAGTAGCTCCTAGTTTTGTTGTTAATCTTTAAGTCAAGTGTACTTATATACATATATAACAGCCATAACCTAAGTAAGCTACATTCTTATTCAGTTAGTTCAATTTTACTACTCGCTGGTAACGTGGATTTGAACACGTTAATCCGTTATTCGAATATAAGTAACTTCGATCACTGAGCCACTCATCCGCAGTTTTAAAAAAGACCAAACCAAATAGTGTTATTGGATTGCATTCTGTATGATCATGTCAAATGTGTTCACTTTCCATCTCTTCATATTCCGTAGTCGATGTGTTCGAATGGTTAAAGAACTTGGTCTACCATTATTAGTAGTCGGTGGTGGCGGTTATACTGTACGAAATGTAGCACGTTGTTGGGCATATGAAACAGCTGTACTACTTGATCAAGAGAAAGAAATTTCCAATGAACTACCTTATTCTCCATACATTGAATTCTTTTATCCTGATTATACACTACATCCAGATTTGACAACTAAATTGGATAATGCAAATACTCGTCAAGTAAGTGAATTCTATATTTCTAATTGATACTATGAACTAACTCTAGGAAATTGAAGAAGCATTAAAAAGAACCATTAAGATGCAGGAAGTATTATGAAGCTGTTCTGTGCTAGCAGGGAAATCCTCAGCACTATGCATTCACAGCTCCTCATAGGGGTCAAACGCGAAATATTCAAGTTTTTCGGAAGGTACATAAACTTAAAACTATTGTGCTGGGATCCAGTGTTTTACAATTGTAGAAAATATTGCAAATTACATCGGTTAAACTGTTGTAACGCTGCTACGTATAGCTATTCAGTCCTAGCGGCGTCCAATTCAAATATCCCAATACAACCCCAAATGCTATTTCCAAATCTCGGTCGAGTATAGAGGGAGAAATGGAATCGGAATCCGAATCATGAAGGCTTATAGATAGTGCGTATTTATACATTAAGGTCGAATAGGAAAGAGCATCAAAGTCTGTGACATTGGCAGTTTGGGACGACCAATCGGAAAGAACACTTGAAATGACATTGACAGTCCGGATGACCAATAAGAGACAACATTGAAGTATTTGACCTTGACAGTTAAAACGACCATAATTTTGGCCAATAGAAATCGACCAACAGGATTACACTTCTAAAAATAGTACTCTTAGGATATTTGCTGAATATCCTTACATAAACCTAGACTAAGGAGTTGCTTTTAACATATTTTTTTAGCTTTGGTAGGGTTTCGATAAGAAATTTTAGTGCAACTTAATATTGACAAGTAGATCAGCTGGAAAAAAAACCCAGACTGGTACTCACACTACACTTCGTGGAACATAGGCCACCAATCATATATCTCCAATCAACCTTGTCCTATTCTCCCTTTTTCTGTTGTTCTCTTGAGATTCCTTTCTTATGATCGGAATACAACAGCACCTCTCTCGAAGTTAATCTTTTCACTTACTCCAAGCACCGCCAGGTTTTATCCCTTCATCCTTGCAACTACTTGAATGATCCTCCCACATTGTGCAGACATTCAATGCGTTTGTATTAATTGTTGCTCTGGTTTTCAGAAGAGACATCGATCTTGTGACTTCTGAAGAATCTTCTACTTGAAGACTCTTTAACTCTCACGGCAGAGTTCAGATGATTTTTTCTGGTCAGCAGGATATGATTACTATTTCCATGACTAACCCCTCTTTCTTTATCCAGACTTCGGAGAAGCATTAACTCCAAAACGACGCTCGGGGTGAATTGGTTACAAGTACTCATAATTAGGATCTGATTAACTCGTCATAGGTTAACATCATTTAAGATAGCACTGAAAAACAGATCACTGGTTTTTCAAAGGGTAATACACTCACAGTTACATCTAAAACGTTTGGGATCACTTTGTGGGTGGAGTTAGTTGGAAGACACTACTGTTAAGAAGTTTCACACTAAGAGGAAACAGTTTCCCAATAAATCCTCTTTAGTTCTTAATGATACTGATAATCTGAATACTTGCAAAAATTAAACCAAATTCCCGATCGAGGTATAACAGGCTAAGCTATTAACAATTAGGTCATACGATTCTGATCTAATCAAGATATGTTCTAATAAGTGAGATTATGAATTAAGGAAGAAGTTACGAATAAGTATTAGATCACTGTAGATAGAATATGTTTTACTTGCTTACTTACACCTTGAGGAGCATAGACTACCTTTTCAGTTGCTGCCAAATGCCGTTCACTCTTTTGATGTTTGCATCCGATTCTCAGTGCAATGTATTGTTTGGTTTGTCTCTTTTTTTGTCTTGAGGATTTCAAGTTAGGGCTTACCTTGTGATGCACTTTAGTGACCTCTACAGTGTGTCCTATGTCTCTACCCCTCACGGTTTTCCTGATAAGTTTTGGAATTAAATTTTTTTTGTTTTCAGACTCCAATATCTCTACTATCTGTCCATAAATCTTCTGTATAATACACGCATATATTTTACTTGCCAGCAACTTTAAGAGATGAACAAAATTCTTGCTTTCATAAAGTCCCAACAGTAGCTGCTACCTTGATGTGGCGGTCGGGCTTGCCTGTCGTGATGATGCAACCGAGCTATACTGGCTGGAACGTATGTTTCTGAAGGTTCTACAAGGCCATGAAGGTCGACTGAAAAACAGTAGGACTAAAAGCAGCAACTCAAGGTCTGAGAGTGAAGTCGTACTCCTGATTGTAGTGGAGTGTGACAGCAGTCAGGTGTTTCCCTCGGACAACCAGCATCTGCAGCGATGCTACCTTCTCACAAGGGAGGACGGGGTTAGAAAAGGTGGACCCTAGAAAATTCACACCTCACCTTACTTTTAATCGATAAGTTCATCAATCCACAATGTGCGTGGCTTTTTTCTCGATTGGCTATCCCAACACCTCCCCGGATTTTTTTCTTGGGTCCACTTGTAGTCTTACGACTGGGTTGCGGTGGCGTTCCATTCTGTTTGTAGTTTTTCGAGTTAGTGTCTCCGACCTTCCCTTTTCTTCGATATTCTAGGACAAATTTGTAGTTGACGGTTCTGTGATCAACTCCAACGGTAGATTTACGCGATTATCACCCGAGCGTACCATTCTTTCGTCCCTTTGCAGTTGGTTCGTGTGTCTAACACAGCTTCCGAAAGCTCCTGTTATTCGATACAAAACTCTTCCTAGTCTTTGGACGACGGTTCTTGGTTCCCATTGATTTTTCCCAAAATATGATTTTAGGAACACTTTATCGCCAACGTTGAAGCTACAAATATTTTGATTCGGCCTGTACCTATTCGCTCTTTTAGGAGGCAACATCCCGTTAAAAACAGTCCGAATACGTCTTCCAAACATTGCTTCAGCTGGAGACTTCCCCTCTGGGACCGTATGGTTCGGAGTGCTTCTGTAAGCCGTTAAAAATCTAGTGATTACTTGGCTAGTTGGCCCCTCGTCTCCCCCTTTCAGTGAAGCTATTTTGAATGTGTCCACGAAGCGTTCCGCTTGTCCATTGGATTGGGGATGGTAAGGTGGGGACCGTAGATGCGTTATGCCGTTTGAATTGCAGAATCGCTTGAACGAGTCCGCAACAAATTGTGATCCATTATCAGTTACCAAGGTTTCTGGCAGTCCGAAACAACTAAATAAAGTAGACAGCTTCTGAATAGTTTCCGAGGCTGTACAATTCGGCATGCTGTATATTTCTGGCCATTTTGTATACGCATCTACAATAATTAGAAACATTTTACCTTGGATTGGGCCAATGAAATCAGCATGAATTCTCCTCCAAGGTCCAGTAGGTTTCTGCCATTGTTGAGGCTCGCATTTCGAATGGTTTTTTTGCGGCTTTTTAGCACGAAATGCAGTTCCGGCATCTGGATTCTGTTCAACTACTGGGAGAGAAGCATAAGCTACAGGTCTTTTTGGTCGAAAACCAGGAACAGCTGTTGACTTGAGAGTCAGTAGCGCTTTGGCTTTCGTACATTCGCCCAACGCTTCTGAAAATACGTGATGATGCCTTTTTATAATGGCATTTCTCAGACTTGACTCCAAAGGGTTATTGATTCTAACTCGGCTGCAGATGTTGTTGATAGGATGGTCTGTTAATTTTAATGCATCTATCAGATCCAACCCCAATAAATCAAGGTCTGGGTTCTTAATAAGTATACAATTGCACTCGTTGTTGCTTCATTTTTTGAAACGGTGCACCATATTTCCCCAACAATATTTAACTTGCCACCGGATGCGCTGTGTGCTAGTTGCTTCGTTTGGTGAACTGTAGGTCTTCCAATTTTCTCCCAAGTTTTTGGACTGATAAGGGTGATATCAGATGCTGTGTCAAGTTGAAGACGGATACGATGTGAATTCATATCCAAAGTCACATACCTTCTTCTGTGGTGAATTCTTGTCTGGTTATGAGACACCAATACTCGGTTTATTGTCTTACCAGATCTGTATTTCTTAGAATAGACTTCCGCGGAGTAATGTCTGCGAGTTCTTTTTCTACATCGGGTTTCTCTGTGGCCTTTTTTGTGACATTTAGTGCAAACATATTCTTTGTATGGACAAAACTTCTTGCAGTGCCAACCTCCACATGACCAGCATGGAGATGAGGGCTGGTTGTCTGTGCTTTTGTGAGCCGGAATCTTTCTTGTCACTAACGGCATGCACGTATGATGGACGGCCATTGTTTTCGACCATGGAGGTATCATGCTTCAAATTTACTAATCTCTGACACTGCAGTTATTTCTTGAAGCGAGATGTTTGGGCACTGCTCAATCAGCATCTTCGGGAGATTGTAAGCTGCACACAAACACAAGGCACTTAAACTGGTCTTCCGTCATTGATGATAGTTTAAGTCGTTCGCATTCACGATTTACTAAGCCGGCGTGTTTTACTCAGTCATCTTCATTTGACTTGGTTATTTTGAGGCATTGATAACGAATATTAAAGAGAGATGACTGTTCAGAGAAGATTTGCGACAGCGTATCAATTGTAGCATCAAAAGAGAAATCTCGTGGGTTCTTTGGGAGGATGAAATTACTATAACGTTCGTGTTCGATTGTGCCGAGCTTTCTCAAAAGAATTCTGACTTTGGCGGCGTCATCGAGTTTGTTGAGGTCGGCCTTGAACAAATCCTTATACTTCTTGAACCGAGACTCGAAAGTCACACCAGCAAGGCCATCAGAATGAAATTCATGAATGGAATTAACTATCGAGTCTGTATGCGGATTGTATGAATCATCGGTAAAACCTCTGTGATTCAGATTCATTTGTTTCATTAACATCTCCAACATATGTTCCTGGAACTGTTCATATCGTTTTCCTTGACGTTCCAGTAAAGATCCTATCTGTTCAACGGTAATTGATATTGTGGTTTGAACATTCCGTCGCCACTTTTATGTTCTGTAATTGAGTAACGTCAAACCACTGTACAAATGACAACACCGAACGTTAGACTCCAACCGTTCAAAAAATAAGAAGATGGGAGACGTTGGAGAACACTTATTAACAGAATCAAAAATATGCGATCAAACATGCGTATTTATACAATTATATATATGTAATCGATATTGTCGTTTAAATATTTGAATATTAAATCAAATAGTTCATCAATCGACACTGCCCTTGAAATATTTAAACATTTAATCGATAAGTTCATCAATCCACAATGTGCGTGGCTGTCTTCTCGATTGACTATCCCAACACTTACCTCACGGATTTCCGTCTCTGGCGGTAAAGCCTTTTAGACAAGAACGGAGCTAACACTTCAAAAACTTCTCATAAAAAGGCCGTTCGTGAGCGGTCTCAAGCAGTTGTCCCTTGGACTCCTGTGGTCACGCTCTCAGGTCTCTAAGACCAACACTCATCTACCTTCCTTTTCAGGTTCTTTGAGAAACACCCACGGTAAGGGCAGCTGGAAAGTGATATTCGCCCTCATATCCGTAACAACAAACGAGACGAAATTGGTGAAAATCAAATCCTTCCTACACTCCGTAACATTTCTCAGGTGCATCCACTCTTTGTGTTCTCACAAATCCTAAACTTTTTATTTCCTCATTACTTTTTCAAGTTTATTTCACAAGATTCTACTTCTTGAATAATATCTTCTGAACCCTAATCTCTCCGACTACTGCTAATAACTTAACTACCTCTACTACTATTGGATTCGAATTGACAATTACATCTCTGTGCCAATAAGGTATGGCAACATAAACTGATGTTCGTACGTACATCAGTTCATGTTGCTATTGATCGATCGATTGATTGATCGCTTTCATAAAGTATTCAAAATTGATTTTATAAACTAATATTTGAACGTGATTCATGCTTATCAAACTTCATAATCAAGTTCATATTTTCATTAATTCTATTTTTTCATTGTTGTTGTAGTATATTGAAGCGTTACGTATGACAGTTCATGATAATTTAAAACAACTTGTACATGCACCAAGTGTACAATTCAGTGATGTATCGAATGATTATCTAGGAAGTTTTTGTCATACTAATAGTAATAATAATAATGATAATAATAATAATAATCATTCCAATGATGATGACCGGTAAGTAATTTCATGCATTTAGAAAAAAAAATAATCTATATGTATAAAGCTTGTTCGAATGCATATATATATATATATAAGCTCAAAACTATTCCGATCAATAAATAAATAAGCATAATAATAATAATAATAATAATTCTAAGTCACTATTTTTGGTCAGAATTCAAAGGATACAGAAAGCTCGATTGGCTTTTGCCAACCTGCGTCACTTTATGGCGCAGGCTAGATATCCGATGGTTAAACAAAGGACGAGTGTACTGCGCAGCAGTTCGCTGTGTCCTACTATACGGATGCGAAACATGACCATTGAGAGTAGAGGACATTCGTAGGTTACTAGTCTTTGGTCATAGGTGTATCCGAAGCATTGCTCGTGTATCCTGGGACGACCGAGTAAGCAATGCTATCGTCAGGGAAACGAGTTCTAGGTAAGGATGGCGAATCAATAGATGAAGTAGTGA